TAGATTTTTGCTCACTGTGTGTATATATATATATATATATAGGTGAGCGTTCTGGAGATCAGGCCTGAAGATTTTTGTCTGGATCTGTGTTATGTTATCAGCTAACTATTGTGCCTCACGTGGAGGTTCCGGAAGTCTCACGTGTTATAAGTTCTGGTTGTTTCAGTATATGAGACTTGTTTGTTTTTTTGTTGGTTGTACTTAAGATGCTATAATGTGTATGGGTATAATGCAAGAATGACTTTTGGATATGTATATAAAGTTTTAAATATTTTTGTTTCATATAAGTCAGCGCAGCTCATTGGACAATCATCTTTTTGTTTTTACTTTCGCTAGCCCCTTATTTTGTGATTATGTTTCAGAGGGCGTAGGTAATCTTAGGATTGCTGGCCGCTTATAGGCGCTAAACCTATAGGGACAGGTTGGGTCGTCACAATTAAGTTTTCTGTGATTTTGTTTTTGTTATTTTGAAGGTGAATATAAGTTTGTAAATGCCTCTGGACTTTTGTTTGAGTCTAGAGAAAATTATAAGCTTGTTATTATAATCCAGAGAAAATTATAATTATTAGAAATTTCTCTGCACTTTTATGTTGTTCTTGTGAAGTGTTTTTATATTGAACAAATTATTTTTCTTATTTTTTCTTTCAGTTTCGATAAACAGTGCAGTGTTATTGCTGTGCAAATATGGGAATGATACTATTCTCATTAATGTTTCATGTGAATTGAATTTTGAGGAATTGGTTGGCATTTTGTGTAAAACATGGGAGAATTTGAAACCTAAGACGATGTATATTTCATATTCTATTGTGGGCCATCCGAATTGTATGGTTCGAAATAATATTGATTTTCTGAATATGTTGAAGGTTGTTTGTGCACGTGGTGTTGATATAGTTGATGTTTCAGTTATTAAGTGTAGTACTTCTAATCAAGAGGATGAAGTGGGGTCTAATTGGGTAGATGTTGTGCATGGTGAATGTGATAGGCTGGTGGATATTGAACGGAATTCACTCTCTAAGTTTTGTTCTCACTAAGAAAATGTGTTATTGTCAGCTAGTTGGCAAAATAATATTATGAGTGTTGGACAAAAGTTTAAGGGTGGTGTGGTTGAGTTCCATACTGTTTTATGCAAGTATGCTATTGAGGTTGGTTTTCAGTTTGCGTATGTTAAAAATGACAAGCTGAGGGTTACGGCAGAATGTGCATATAAGGAATCAAGGAGATGTATGTGGCGTGTACATTCTTTAGTTGAAAAAACAAATGGGTTCTTTTACATAAGAACTTTGAACAATGAACATACGTGTGGTGTGGTGGTTCGGACTAGTAAACATGCTCGGATGACTTCCAGCTTAGTTTCCGGGCTAATACTTGAAGAGGTAAGTGCAAAACTTTTAACTCGTCTAGTGAATGTTGTCAAAGAAATGAAAGACAAGTATAGGGTCTCAATCAGTTATAACTATGGTTGGTTGGGGGTTGAAAAAGCAAAATATAGTACATATGGGGATTTTTGTTTGTCATTCGATCAATTACGGTGGTATTTCGATGAGGCATTGAAGAATAATCCAGGTAGTCGTTTTGAGTTAGATTTTGAAGATAACAAGCGTTTCAAAAGAGTGTTTGTGGCTTTTCCTGCATACATTGTTGGTTTCAAATATTGTCGGTCATTGCTGTTTTTTGATAGAATATTTTTAAAAGGACGATACAAAGGAGTTATGCATATTGCGACAGGAAAAGATAGGAATGAAGATAATTGTAAATGTATCTAATTTTATCTTAGTATGTGAATTTTCTATACATGTGGGAATTGAGTGAATGTGATTTTCTCTGACACTTTGAATTTTCTCTAGTTATGACCACTATGTAAATTTTCTCTGGATTTTGGTCAGTGTGTGAATTTTCTCTGGATGATGTCATTGTGTGAATTTTATCTATAGTTGGTCACTAAGTGACTTTTCTCAGGATATTGTCATTGTGTGAATTTTCTCTGTAGTTGGTCACTAAGTGAATTTTCTCTATATGTTGCCAATGTGTGAATTTTCTAAGGAGTTGGTTACTAAGTGAATTTTCTCTGGATTTGGCCATTGTGTGAAGTTTCTTTGGATGTTAGCAGTGTCAAATTCCCTATAGCTTTTGCTGTTGTTGATATTGAGAATAAAGACAATTGGTGTTGGTTCCTTGAACATTTATGTGAAGTATTGGGATCGGAGAGGGTGATAAGTTTCATATCAGATCAACATTGTGGTATTGTGAAAGGAATTGCTAGGTTTTTCCCTAATTGCTTTCATGGATTTTGTCTTGAACATCTAAAGAGAAATTTGAGGGATAGGTTGTCATGTGGAAACACAAATTTGGTTAGGGAGACGATTGTGTCCAAGTTTTCAGAATGTGCATATGCACCAACAAAGGCATCATTCCATTTCAAGTTAAATGAATTAAAAGTAAGGGAAGAGACATTGTGAGTATTTTCTTAAGAAGTTTACCATATGAAAATTTGAGTGATACATATTTTGAGAGGAAACATTATGGTGAGATGTATTCAAATGTTGCTGAGTCATTCAATTCATGGATACGAGAAGCTCGGCACTTGCCAATAACAAATTTGGTGGACATGATACGGTTGCAAATCAAGAATATGAGGTCTGATAGGAGGCTGCTCTCAGTAAATGGAATAAAGTTCTCTGTCCTCGTATGGATAGTGTATTAGAGAAGGCTTTCATGGATGGGAGGACATGGAATGTGAGTTTATCATCTAATAATGTCTTTAAAGTGCATTGTTTTCCTTCGGTTATGGTTGATCTTGGGTTGAGAACTTGTTCATGTCGAAATAAATGGGTATCCATGTTAACATACTGTTGCTGTAATTTTTAGGAGTGGAAAGAATTTGAATTCATTTGTTAAACCATTTTTTCATGCTGATATGTATCGTCAAGCATACTCGTTTTCGATTGGCCCAGTTCCAACTGTTGAAAAACTTGTGTATAGCATTGATGATGCTATGATTTTACTTCCATTGAGTAAGAGACCAGCTGGGGGGCCAAAAAAGAACAGAATTGCTTCTACTGGAGAGTTTAAAAGGGTGATTAAGTGTAGTTGATGTGAAAGTATTGGTCGCCATAATAAGAGGACATGTAAGGAACCTATGTTAAATAGTTGAGGATAATACATTTTATTAATTGAATAATACATTTGATGATTACTTTGTGTATTTTATTTTGTGAAATGTGTTTTTTGGACAGTGTGTATATAATAATACCAATCAAATTCATCCAGAGAAAGTTTCCAATAGCAGTGAAAATTACTTTTTGTGTTGTACTTTTAGAAACATACTTTGGGAGTGGCTTTATAATACCAGTCAAATTCATCTAAAGAAATTTGCCAAAAACAGAGATATTTACTATGGGCATTGTTTTTGTTGAAATGTGCATTGCGTTTTATGAGGTCAAATTCATCCAAAGAAATTTGCCAATAGCAGAGAAAATTACAGTATGCATTGTGTTTGTTGATACATACTATAGGTAGTGTGTTTATAATACCAGTCAAATTCATCCAGAGAAATTTACCACTAGCAGAGAAAATTCTCTGTGCATTGTATTTTGTGAGGTCAAATTCATCCCGAGAAATTTGCCAATAGCAGAGAAAATTACTGTGTGCATTGGTTTTTTTGAATTTGATGATTGTTTTGTATCAACACAATGCATTACAAATTACATGATCATATAAGCAGCCTCTTGGCACGATATGAGTTAAATTTCTCTGTGAATTTCTGGTAACTTCATACCAGTCAAATTCATCCAAAGAAATTTGCCAATATAAGAGAAATTTACTATGGGCATTGTGTTTGTTGAAATGTACATTGTGTTTTGTGAGGTCAAATTCATCCAGAGAAATTTGTCAATAACATTGAAAATTACAGTGTGCATTGTTTTTGTTGAAACATACTATAGGCAATGTGTTTATAATACCAGTCAAATTCATCTAAAGAAATTTGCCCCTAGTAAAGAAAATTCTCTGTGCATTGTGTTTTGAAGCTTTAAATTCATCCAGAGAAATTTGCCAATAGCAGAAAAAATTATTGTGCGCTTTGTGTTTTTTGAATGTGATAATTGTTTTGTACCAACACATAGCATTATAGATTACATGATCATACAGGCACTCTCTTGGCACGATCCGAGTTAAATTTCTCTGTGAATTTCTGGTAACATCATACCAGAGAAATTTCTGCAGACAATTTTCTCTGTGTGGATTGTGTTAACAATCACAACTTGGCATGCATTATAAAAAAAAAAAAAAAAATTAACCATTGATAGCTATGAAGTTTACATTAGTCAAAAAAAGATATATACATATATGTTAAACATCATCATTCCTTTAATGTATGAAAAAACAAATTGAAGGGTTATTCCTAATTACATTGTGTGCATTGTCTTCTTTTCACTAGTGTGCTTTCACTATTATACTTTTGGTTCTTCTTCTGGTGGTATTTGAATTGGTTCTGTCCATGACCGGCCAACTTTAGTCACAAATCTCTCTATAAGTTTTGCCCTCATCAACTTTACGTCTTGTGTCGGCAATTTCGAGCTGATAGGTTCATGGTTGTTATATTGTCTCATTATGTAGCTTACAAAGAGGCCATAATCCACACTGCATACAAATTATAGATATAGTTAGTTTTAAGAAACATTCAAATTAGATTATCTTATTTATAGATATTGTATGAAAATTACGAATCACTGTCTTGTTGTGGAGCATTGTTGACATATTCAAAGTCATAATTTGTGTTTTGTGAGTCTATCAATTTGAAAGAGGGTCGTAATTGTGCATCTCTTTCAAGGCAAGCTTTCAAAAAATTCTCCACATAATCTTGCTGCAAAAAAATAATTTTTAAATAAGAGAGAAATTTACACACAAATCAATGGGATTCTATGAAAATTATCATCACATAAACATTATCATGGATCAGAGAAATTTGCACTCGTTACCAATTGTTTTGCATCTTTGATATATTTGTCTTGTGCATCATCCCTTCTTGGACTTAGTAAGTTGTAGAACCTCCATAAATTGTCTTGTTTGTCCAAGACTAGCAAGGTCCAGTGATTTCCATCTGTTGACTTCTCATTGCCCCTGGTATTTATTAGGAAATGGAGGAACCTGTAGTTCCTCCATGCCGTTTCAAGATGCTTGTCAAATAATGAGACTCGAAAAGTATGATTTTCCGTCATCTTGATGAAGTTCTGCGGTTAGAGAAAATAAAAAAATGGTTATGAGAAAGTTGAAATGACAGGAATTTAAGAAATATATACACAGAGAAATTTTAAATGCAGACAACTAGCTAGAGAAAATTAGACTAGTGACACAATTGGCTTCAAGAAGTATCTTAACAAGAGAAAGTAGTAAGTAAATTCTAGAGAAAATCAAATAAAAGATTAGTAACATACTAAGCTCATGCATGTGAAAAAAAATGAAGTTGGTTGTTGTCCTTTTCTCCTTTGATTAGCAAATAGGATCTCTCCATAGCCATCAATGACCTGAAAAATATTATTTATAATTGTGACATTGGTTTATAAAGGCTAATAGAACATTGCAGAGAAATTTTGATGAAAGACTTACATTATTGGCAATTTCTTTTTCCTTTATTTGGTTTCCAATATTTTCAAAGGTAATGAGATTCAATTCACTTGTCCAGATTAAAGCCCTACAAGATGACAAAGAAGGGATTTCATAGTTATTAATGCGATATAAGTTAGTAAATTGTCGTTTGTTATCTTCTATTTTATTTCTTGTACTTACTCGAGTCCAGACACATTTGATATGTGCTGCAAGATGTCTTTTACATGTTCTTTTACCAATTTTGAAACTGGTAGAGTTTGTGAAAAAACCTAAGATTTTCTGATGCTTGTTGGTTGAGGCAAGATGTACTCATCGGCATCAAGTACTTCTTTGTCTTTAGTGGTTTGCACTGTTTGCTTTACAGCTTGCTTTGAACTTCCAGTCACCTTCGCAACTTTGGGATATTGAAATTCTGGATCTTGCTGCTTTTCTTTCATTTCTTTTGCCTTTAAATTTTTTATCATTGATGTAGGATCTTTTTTCAGTGTAGATAGTAAAAATATCAGTAAAAGTTAAATTTCTCTGAAGTAACAGATCATATTTCAATATGTAAATTTATTTGATTCAATATTTTTCAGTTATCATAGACTTTTGTCTTTTGTTTTTGTTGTTCTTTGTGTGCCACTTGTTCTTGATGGGTTGTTGGTTGTTGTTCCACTTCTATTCCAACTATACACGGTGAAAATCAAACAAGTCCCAAAAATCAAATAAACAGCATAAATTAATAGACATAAGCAGCATACACTAATGTGATCAGAAAAATTTAAATTCCAAAAAAAAATTACCATTGACAGAGAAAAATGTAACAAATAGAATTTCTCTGAGTTATGTTGACACAAGGACATAACTTTTTGTGGCTCAAGATTTTCACTGACCTTGGAATTGAACTTGTGTTGGTGTTCAGTAAGGTTGTGTTGCTAGTTGGACGAATAGTTCTTAAATTTATTTATGCAATCTAGCATTTTCAATTTCAAGCTCTGAAATTAATTACCTCAACTATTGAGTTATTTTTGTATCATCTTGTTTTTGAACCTCCAACATCCTTAGTTTCATTTGGTTTGTGCTGTCTCTTTCTTGAAGTCCTAAGTTATGTGATGTCAAAGTTCTTATTGTAATGTCCTTTTCTGCAAGTAATTTATTCCAATTTTTCTCTTCTTTTATTCTGGATTTAGAAAGTGCCTTTAGTCTTTAATGTAGATCAGCAATTTGAGTATCCTTTGATTCCTCATATTCTTGAGGCTGATGCATTATTGAGCCACAAATGCTATCATGATGTTGGTCCATCGGCTCTTTATGTTCTTTGTCATCACTTTCCTCATTGTTTTCTTCTTACTCTTTAGATTCAGTGCATTTATCTTCTTCTTCATTGTTTTCTTCTTTTTATTCATTTTCTTCTTTGTCTTCTACTTTTACTTCTTCACTTTCTTCTCTGGCTTCTGCTTCTGCACTGCTTTGCTTGATCTTTTTCTCCATTGCTTGCTTCTTATTCTTCTGTGTTGCCTTCTCCTTCTTCATTCTCTCATTTTTCTTCAGATGAATCTTCTAATGTCTCCTTTAATTTGACAATTGCCTTTTTTGATTTTTTTTTTTTCTTCTTTTTACCAATACAAAACTCCTCTTATGGATTTTTAACTAACTTCTTGTTATCTATCTGTAACAGAAGCCTCTTTTATTAGACAAATGTTACAAAATTCACTGAGAGAAAAAATTCAAATAAGATAGACAAAATTCATCTAAGTCATACTAATGGGAAACAAACTTCAGAGAAAATTGTATAAGTTAGAGAAAGTTACAGACAATAAGATAATTTTATGAGTCAGAGAAAATTATGAAACAAGCAACATAATTTAGATATCAGAGAAAATCAATCAGGGCATATAAGTTAATGTTACTATAATTGTGTCAGAAAAATTTGGATTTCAAAGAAAATTCATTAAAAGAGCAAAAATGAACAGTGGTAATCAAAAAATAACATAAATTGAAATTTCAAAGAAAATTGATCTCAATTAGTCAAGGCACATAAGTTATGGGTCAGATAAAATTAATCTAAATCATACTAATGGGATACAAATTTCAGAGAAAATTTTATCGACTAGAGAAAATTACACACAAGGACAATTACTTTTATGGGCCAGAGAAAATTATGAAACAAGCAACATAATTTAGATATGAGAGAAAATCAATCAAGGAAGATAAAATAATGTCACTATAATTGTGGTCAAAGAAATTTGGATTCTAGAGAAAATTCATTACAAGGGCAGAAATAAACAGTGTTAATCAAAGAAGCAACATAAATTGAAATTTTAGAGAAAATTGATCTCAATCAGTCAAGGCACATAAGTTATGGGCCAGAGAAAATTATGAAACAACTAACATAATTCAGATATCAGAGAAAATCAATCAGGGCATATAAGTTAATGTGTTACAATTATGGTCAGAGAAATTTGGATTCTAGAGAAAATTCATTACAATAACATAAATAAACCAGTGGTAATCAAAGAAGAAACATAAATTGAAAGTTCAGAGGAAATTGATCTCAATCAATCAAGGCACAGGGAGGGAAACAAACCAGTGGTCAGAGAAATTTTAGAATTTCACTGAGATTTCAATGGCGATAGAAATCTAACCTGTCGTGGTATAAGAGAGTGGATTGGTGTCTTCTGCAATTGTTTGGTTAAGCTTTGCAGGTTCCACTTGGCACATCTTGGGAAGTTAGTTGTGTTACTGTCTTCCGAGTCAATGATATTCGCATGTTCACATAGCCAATACTATGATAGAAATAAAAGTAATTAAATTTTGTTAAATACACAAATTTGTAAGTATCATAACAGTAAATTTGAATGGAAATTATACTTACCAACAATGCAATGACACACTCCGTAACTTTTTCTGGAGTTTTGTACAATGCTGTGATAGAATCGATCAATGTTAATGTGATTGCTTCTGACCAATCATATTGTTTCATTGATTCAAGGGGTTCCACGTATTTTATAAAAACTCACCCTATTGAATTCCCACTTGTTGTAAAAAATAGGGTGAGACACAAGTACAAAGTAACAATGATTGCTACATCTTTGAAATCAGTTGGTTGCTTGCCTTTTATTGCTTTGACCAAGATATTTTTAAGAACATGACCAGTGAGCCTTGTGTCCTTTGGGAACCTTCTCCTTAGGAAAGCAAATTTTGACTTTTTAGAGTATCTTAATGACATTACTCATTTACCTCCTTACAAACTAAAAACCAAGGTCATGTCATTGGTTGTAAAGGTCAAGTTCTTTTTACCAACTGTGAATGCTTTCGTTTTTTCATTGTAACGTTGGATTATTACAACTGCATCATCATCAAATTTTCTAGATTTCCTTGGATCCATTCTTCCAGTGGTTAGAGCTTGGATCAAATACCAGAATGAGGTCTTTTGAAACTCTTCAAGTTGGTTTGAATTGAATTTAAGTGTTTGAAAAAAAGAGACAACAAATGAGAGGTTGGATCGGTACTGAATGCTGTAATGAGCTCTCTTTCTTTGGAGTTTAACAGGTTTTTTCCCCATTAAGCTTGAGTCTTTTAAAGTTGGAATATTCATCTTGATGCTAGTTGCTTCATCACCTTGGACTTGTGTGTTTTGACAAGGAGTTTGTGGTGTTTTGCTTCTTTTTTATCTTAGATCATAAGAAGATTGAGAGAGTTTCTGTTTCTTGCTTGGTGTTTCTGGTGTTTTGCCGCTTTTACGTTTTGCCATTTCTAGACAATGATGAAAACATAAAGACGTCAACATTAAATTCCAAAAAAAATTGAACATGCTAGAGAAAATTGGACATGTCAGAGAAAATTAGACACTGAAAATTAAATATTAGAGTACTAATTGTTTTCCTGTGGAATACATCTAGCCACAGAAAATTTTCATTCCCAGAGAAAATTAACAAAGCAATATAAACATGCAAGAGAAATTTTCAATAATTGTTAAAATTACATATAGAAGTAAAATATAGTCAGAGAAAATTAAAAAAAAAAACATATATCTAGCAAGCACAGAAAATGAATATGATAGAGAAAAGTAAACATGACAAGTCAGAGAAAATTTTCATTCCACAATTAGCAAGATAAAATAAACAAAGTAACGTAAACATACCACAGAAAATTACACAACATTGAAACCAAGAATTGAACAAAATAAACATACTAGAAAAAATTGAGCATGGCAGACAGACACAAGGGAGAAAACTAATGTGGTCAGAGAAAATTATAAATTCCAAAGAAACTTAGACGCTGACAAGAGAATACTAGGTGTTTTCATGTGGAATACATGTAGCCATAGCTAATTTTCATTCCCAGAGAAAATAACCAAAGCAACATAAATATGACAGATAAATTTTCAAAAATTGCTACAAATTAAATATAGATGTAAAATATAGCCAAAGAAAATTCAAGAAAGAAACATAAACCTAACAAGCACAGAAAATGAAAATGCCAGAGAAAATTACACATTCCAAAGAAAATTTCCATTCCATAATATTAAAATGCAAGAGAAATTTACATACACAATCAGAGAAAATTAAACATGATAGAGACACACAAAAGAGAAAAGTGATGTGACCAGAGAAAATTATAAATGCCAACGAAACTTAGACACAAACAAAAGAATAATATTACATATATATGTAAAATATAGTCAGAGAAAATTCAAAAAAAAAACATAAATTTAGCAGGCATAGAAAATGAAAATGCCTGAGAAAATTACACATTCCAAAGAAATTTACAGACAAAATCACACAAACATGTTCAAGAATAAGATTAAAAAACAAAGAAATAATTTTTTCCAAAATAAATATGCCAGAGAAAATTCAAAGAATAAACATATATCAAGCAAATATCAGAGAAATTCAAATGCCAAAGAAATTTACAGATAAAATCACACAAACATGTTCAAGAATAAGTTCAAAACACAAAGAAATAACTTTTTTCAAATTCATATAGCTTTTTATTACGAAATTGAAACTCTAATTAATGGAAAGTTAATATAAAATGCAATTAACTGTGTTTCTAGAGAAAAACTCGTTGGATTGTAGAAAAACTTACCAGAGTTAGGATGAAACCCTAATTACGAACTGATATGCCCTGAGATGAAGATGCAATGTGACGAAGAAGAACTGAGATGACGATGAACAGTAAACACGGGGTCAGAGAAATTTGTGAGGAAGGAATGTAAAAATTTTTTGCAGAAGATAATGAAACTCTAATGTCGATGATGAAGATGATATTGAAACCCTAATTCTACTGTTCTCTTACTCATGAAGATGGTTGGATGTTTGGAATGAAACTCAGTCGCCGAAATCCGGTTTAGTTTCTGCGTTGATTTGTGAAGGGTATTTTGGTCCATGAAATAATTAAAAATGCGTGTGATATAGTTAAGGGACCTGATGCATCACCCCTTTTTTTGGTGTCCTTTATCCTCTAAGTTACTATTGTTAGGGACCTTAAAAAAAATTTCCTATATCTTTCTCAACTTAAAAAATAATAATTTAAATTAATATTTTCAAGAACTTAAATTTTTCATAGATTTTATGATGGTCATACAAAACGGACGTAATTTTTTTTCTAAAAAATAACATAGGCTCCCAAAGTATAGAGATATTAATATGTATTTTATTAATATTGTTTTGATTTTTAGCTTACAGCCCCGGTACAGAGCCCGAAAACCGGGGCTCGAATTTGGCTCGAATTTGAGAAGGAAGAAGAAGAAGAAGAAGAAGAAGAAGGAGAAGCAGAACTAGAGGGGGCCATAAAAATGGGGCTAGAAGCGGAGGCGGAGGCGGAGGCGGAGGCGGGGTTGCGACGCGACGAGCGACGATCGGCCGACGAGCTACGACGACGACGATGACTCTCTCGCGCCTCTCGCCTCTGTTTCTCTCTCGCCTGTGTTCAAACAAAGAAGAAGAAGAAGAAAGAAAGAAAGAAAGAAAGAAAAGGAAGAAAAAGGGAAAAAAAAAATTCGAAACACAAAACGAAAGAAGAAGAAGAAGAAAAGAAAGAAAGAAAGAAAAGGAAGAAAAAGGGGGGAAAAAAATTCGAAACACAAAACGACGTCGTTTTGCATTTCGAGCCAAATTCGAGCCCTTGATTTCAGGCCCTCAAACATTTTTCTTTAGCTTATTAATATGTATTTTATTAAATGTCTTACACATTTTCACCAAATACATAACTAAATGTCTTAGAGCATCTCCAACGGTGATTCAAATTTTTCACCAAATTTGAGTCAAAAATGACTCATTTCACTAAATTTGATACCACTCGCTCCAACGGCTCACCTTTCACCAAATCTATCTCGGGACAACCGGGTGGTCGACCGGCCGGTTGAACGGTTAGGCAAAAAAAAAATTTTTTTTTTTTTTGGCGAATTGTCTGAACTTTTTTTTGAACTTTCTGAACTTTTTCGGGATGACACGGAGTGGTCTGACGGCCGGTTGACCGGTTAGGCAAAATTTTTTTTTTTTTTTAACGGTTTGAACTTTTTTTCCTGAACTGTTTGAATCTTTTACTGGTTGACCGTTGGTCAAACCGGCGAATCTTTTGGCTGGTTGACCGGTGTACCTCTTTCAACGGTCAGTAACAGTGATTTGGTAAAATCTGTGTCTCGTTCTCAGTTTGATACTTTTTTTGCTGAAATCTCATTTTGGTATCAATCTGGTGCAACGGTTGGAGCTTGAAAAAGTAGGTTTTTCATCAAAATTTGAATTTGATGCTGGGTTTGGTTCACCGTTGGAGATGGTCTTACACATTTGTACCAAATAAATAAATAAATGTCTTTTGTGTGAAGTTCACAAAATTGCGAACTCTACACCCATGTGAAATATTTAATCATTTATTTAATAAAAAGTTTAATATCTCCAATATTACCTTTTTAACCTACTAAAATAAGTAAAAACTAAAATAACTAACTTCGATAACAATTCTATTATATAATTCCTTTCTTTTTAATTCTTTTTAAGCCCTTAATGGTCTAACTTCTTTCCACTGATGTTGTCCGAGTCATAGGATCCACTAGTTTCGTTTTAATAATTGAAATCATTAAATTTATACATCATTTAATTAAAAAAAATCAATTTAATAATTATAATCTGTTTAATTTTTTGCATTTGTTATAAAAAAAATTATTTTCAAAAATATTTATCTATATTTTTAAAGACATAATAAATAAAAAAAATTTACAAAATAAACTGTTTAAATTATCGAAATGAGACCTATACTAAACTCAAAAGCTGAGACAACCTCCAATCCGGATCTAGAAAAGTCCAATCCTAAAATTAAATTAACATTATTGTGATACCTTACCTTGTTTTACGAGGCCACACCTTTTTCTTCTTTCAAAAAAAGAAGAAATTGTCTATGATTTTTTCCTTTATGATTTTTCAAATTTGATTAATAAGTCACAATAAATAGTAGTTGTTATCAGCTTAACAAGCGATAATTTCCAGAGCTTCGACTTTTTAAAGATCTAGTTTCAGAAATTTCCCTATTTCATTCACCTAATATTAATCTCTAAAACTTAGATCTAATTTCACAGATTTCCCTATGTGATTCACCTAATAGTAATCTCTAAAACCTCCACTCCTTAAAGTCTAACTTTAGAGATTCTCCTATGTGGTTAGGCGTCGTATTGAACTATTCAAGCTGCACAAAAAAATTCTCATCTAGTCTATCTGCTACTTAGGATTGTTACGGTATTAAAATTTTCCCAGGTGTTTAAATAAAATAAAATAACATTCAAGCATGCATATGGACTCTGGATTTCATTTGAGTAAATTTTCTGTACTAATTCCAAAGAAAAAATCAAAATCAAAATCAAAATCAAAATCAAAATCAAAATTGCCTTTCTTGTACTACTTAAAATAAAAGGGCATATTATAGCCCCACAATTTACTGAAACCCAGAACTAACCACCCAGTACATGATGAATGAGAGCGATATGAGAAATCGCCAGTTATTCAGGCTAAGCAAGTAATCACCCAACAAACATGGAAACAACATTTCACAATAAAAATAGCCAAAAAGTCAAGAAAATGAAGAACAAATAAAAGAGCCAATGAAGTTCACAAAAAACGAAGTTCACATTTTTATAACAAAATGTTTTCCCAGAGAAAACATGATATACCTGCCCAGGAAATCAAACAACATACACAGTTTTGAGGTTTCAAGCCACCAGTACAGACTAATTGTTACTTAACTAGTCCTGCAATCATCTTCGTTTAACGACGAAAATGTTCAAAAATCATACTCACTGCTGGGCACACTGCACTCTCTGAGCTCCACCGCCGCCATGCATATCCTCGTCCTCATCATATGCCTCATGCATCTGCTTTCTCCGCATCTCCTCTTCAATGTTGACATCATGCAAAGTCGTCTCCTCACACTCGTCGAGTTCCATATCTGTCATTTCTGTCAATGGCTTCGGTGGCAATACCGCCTCCAGAGCCTTAACCTGCTCTGGGCTCAGAGAGTCTGGGAATTCCACGGTGAAATGGATATACAACTTCCCCTTCATGAATGGCCTCCGGTACATCGGCATACCCTCTTCGTAGATTGCCTTGAATTGATCTATGCATTTTACAAGAAATTGCACATTGAGAATTTAGTGAGGAAGGAAAAAAAACAAAATTTCCTTTGTTTGTTTACAAGGAAAGAAGTAGAAACTACAATAAAGTTAATTTCTTAGTACAACCCATATTTTTTACAAGCCACGAGGAAACCTATATTTGTCCATGCCAAAAGTGACCTATAATTGAAAACTCAAAATTTTCTCTTTTTCTTACAAAATTTTCATTCTAATTAGATGTTTAGGTGAATATTTTTTCCTTTCTATTTCTTTTCTTCTTTCACTTCACTTTCTTTCATTTTCATTTTCCACATTTTTTTTCTTTCATTCTAATGAAAGAGAGCCTAAGACAACTCGAAATTGCTTCCTCACTAACCTGGCTTGATGACTTCCCCGGGGTTCGATTTAATAAGGAGCTGCCTACCATCCAAATGAGTCAATATGAACTGGAAGCCACATAGAGCCTCCGTCAATGACAAGGTGTGTTCAACAAAAAGGTCATCGCCCTTTCTCTTGAACTTCGGATGTTCCTTTTGCTGCAGAACAAATACTATATCCCCGGTAACTGTATCGGGCTGCAAAGGGACACAAACCAAGTAACAAACAATTAAAATGCTCATTGATCAAGCAATAATTGACATATACATTACTAGATGAAAAAAAAATTGAGAAAAATTTTGAAAAGAAAAAGAACAAAAAGTATATAAAACTAGATGAAATGTTTCCAACTCCCTATTCAAATCCCCAACTATACACAGCGTAAAAGTACAACCAAAATCTCAATTTCATAACATACCGCTTCATCAGCCTCCCCTGGGAATGTAATCTTCTGGCCATTTTGCATGCCCTTCTCCACAATGACTTCCAGCACCTTCTTCTCCTGAACAACCTTCTCACCTTTGCACTGAGGGCAACGATCTTTATCATTGATAGTCTCTCCAGTTCCCTTGCATTCATTACAAGGATGCTGCATCTGCTGAATCATTGAGGGACCGAGCTGCCTAATCGAGACCTTCATTCCAGTCCCTTGACAGCTAGAACATTTCATTGAAGCACCAGATTTTGAACCTTTCCTGTCATTGGTGTAACACGAATCCACCCATATAAGAAGCTACATTCAGTTGCAAAATCCAGAAACAATGATCACATAAATCACGGAAACTACTCACCCATTGCACTTTGAGCAAAGGACATTTCGAGATAGGGAAAGCTTTTTAGAGATTCCACTGTACAAGTCCTCAAGAGAGACCTTCAAGGGATGGACTACATCTTCTCCCCTCCTCTGCCTTCGTCCTCTGCTGCTACCGCCACCTGGAGACAAACAAAACAATTAATTCATTGGCGACTTTGATCACTTTCTCTTTACACCATACACTATAGAGTAAATACCAAGCATCTAGATGTCTCACCTCCACCAAAGAAGGATTGGAAGATGTCAAATGGATCATGCATGCCGCCGCCACCGCCCATTCCTTCCTTGAGTGCATCCTCACCATACTGATCGTAGATCTCACGCTTCTCAGGGTCACTCAGCACCTCATAAGCTTGAGCAAGCTCCTTAAACTGCAATAGAATCCAACAATCAAGTTCCACCTCTAATGCGACCAAAAATGTAGAATGAACTGAATAAATGAATAAAATTCTTTCAAAATAAAAATATTTCCCTTTGAATTAATGTTGAAAGGATAGGAATGAGAAAACCAACAATCAATCATCCCAGGTAACCATGCGTCAATCAAACAAATGGGTCATGCATGAAAATGAAACATTTTACCCAAGATCATTGTACACAAAACATGCTTCATGAGAAGGTTGAAAACTAAATTACTACAAATTCTCTCTAGTTAACTAAACAGGTAATGGAAATGCGATTCTAATATGTATTCCTTTTCTTTCCTTCAATTTAGTTTTCCCGGGCGTAATTTTCTTGTATGACATTCTTCACAAATTCGTGACTCTCACCACCACAATCTTGGCTGATAATAGATATTCCCAATTGAAAACAAGTAAAAGACTTGAAATCACAACAAAACAACAACCCCATTGTGTATCCAAAAACACCATGATCGCCCATGAATTCCAGAGAAAAATCCTCTCTTTCACTTTATACTAGTTTACCAGTCAAGAAACCCAAAATCGTTTCACACAATCCTACTTATCTATCTTCAAACTTGTTCACAATAAAAACAAGAATTCATTTTCTTGTGAACCAAACAAAGTATGACACTGTTCATAAAAGGGAAAAGGAATTAATGAAATCAAAACCCAATAAGAATTTAATGAAGAACAACCCCTTCACCATCTCAAATACAACGACATAGACATTAAAAAAAAATTAAAAATTAAAATTCACAGAAGAGAATTAACAAAGTAAGGGCTCTGAAAAGGAGTTACCTTCTCTGGGTCACCACCCTTATCAGGATGGTTCTTGATGGCGGCTTTACGATAGGCCTTTTTGAGATCATCCTGAGTGGCGTTCTTCGACACCCCTAATACCTCATAGTACTTGCTATTATCACTCTTCTTCGGTGCCCTCCCAAACATCTTCTTCTTCTTCAATCTCTTCTGATCAAAACCCTAGTTCCCAAATTCTATGTACAATTGAGACTTGAATGCGTGTATGAATATATGTACTTGAATGCGTGTATGAATATATGTAATTTCCAGGGAGTTCAAGAGAAACAGCTCAGAAAGACACAAGAATCGCAACGGAAAAGAGACTCGGATGGGGTATATATAGGATATTAATATTAATAATAGTATGTGAAAATGCTTTTTGTTTTTTTGAGATCATAGGAATGGAGGGTTGAGATGAGAGGGTGATGGTGGGGGTGGCATCTGAGAGAAGTGTGTGGACGAGTCCAGAGGGTTTTGGGAATTTTTGTTGGGTGTCAAAGAAGGAATTTGGAGCGTTGGATGAATTTATCGGATGGATGAGATTTGCGTTCCAGAGGGTTCTCTAAATGGCTTTGCAGCCACATACGCGGTTGATTTTGATTTTTGACTTTTCAGTGGTGTTTTGGGAAGTGGTGTTTTGGGAAGCTGGTAAAAAATTAATTTTTTTAATTTTTTGATTTTTTTGATAAAAAGTTAAGTTATTTTGGATTAAAAAAATTGATTTTTTTGGCTAAAAAAATTGTCAAAAAGCTAGTTTTTTTGGTGCATTTCCAGAAAACTTTAGTATTTTGCTTGGAAACTTTTATTTTTAATAAAAAAAAATTATCATAAATTATTACATTATTTTATTTACTTTTTTATATATCTTTTAGTAAAAAAATTAAAAATTACTAAAATAGTCGGTTCTCAAACGAATTGTTTTGGTTGCACTTTTAATTTTTTTGGACTTTTATAAAAAAAATAAAATGATTATAATTTAGTTATGATATTTTATCTTTTTAATTTTTTTTAAGGGCAAATTACTAACACCTCTTAAGGTTTGACTAAAATACGGATTCTCCTGAGGTTTGAAAAATTACAAATTGCCTCCTGAGGTTTATATTTGTATGACAAATAAGGGGACAATTTCTTATGCAAATAGAAACCTCAAGGAATAATTTGTTATGCAAATATAAATTTTAGGAGGCGAGATATAATTTCTCAAACTTTAAAGATAAGTTATATTTTAGTCAAATCTCGAGATGGAATTGATAATTTGAATTTTTTTTAATTATTTTAGTCTATAACCGCCACTAAAGTGTCAAACGAGGGCTTTGGTTTTGCTTGTTTAGGAAGATGGTCATTTTCTGGTTTTTTTTTTTTTTTGTTACAGGAAAATCCTCCGTACCCTCCCGCAGGTCCAAGGCAGCACCCCTTGCAGAGATCACCAGGGTATTCTATTAGCCGTTCCGAGCGAAGAGACTATAATCTAAGAACTTACCCCGACCTCCTAAGACAGACAAGCTCTGCTTAAGTTTTCTATTAGCCGTTCCGAGCGAAGAGACTATAATCTAAGAACTTACCCCGACCTCCTAAGACAGACAAGCTCCGCTTAAGTTAGGACTCGCACTGCAGGGGAACATTTAATCCACACCAAATGCTGATTAGACAACTTGAGGTCCAACCTCCTGACCAGCTGTGTTTCGCCCAAGAGATTGGCCCAAGAGGAAGGGAATTGAACTTGTGACCTTAGGGTTTAAACCCCAAGCCTTAACCATAATGCCACCCACCCATGAGTTTCTTTGGTTTTACTTGTTTATAAGGATGATCATTTTCTTCAGCTATGCTCCGCATTTGCATCTCTCGTTATGTCTCATATGGATTTTTCTCGCCTTTCTATCCAAATTTTGTCTCAGTTATATTTATTAATTATATTTACACATATATATAATATATATTATTTATTTATTTTTTATTATAATAAAATTAAAATACTAAAATATTGTAATTAACATTAATTTGTATTCATTTATTTTCTATCTTATATAATATAATTTTCATTAAGTATAAATTATTATTCATAATGTATTATATTATCTATAATTTTATTAATATCTTGATTTTTCAACTTACAAAATTAATCCACACCCACTCCACTTCCGTCACCTCCCAATTTATCCACCCCCGATGGTGTTTGGGAAGTTTGTGCTTTGGTTTTTTTGATTTTTTTTCACTAAAAGACAAATTGGTTATAAAACCAAAAAAAAAAACAATCCAAACAAAATATCACATCAAACCCCATAATCATTTCACTTTTTCTCTCACAACAATCACATCCAACCACAAAAATACTTAACTATCTTCCCAAACACAAAAAAAAAAATTTCTCTAATAATAGTCTACAACTAAAAAAACTTACAAAAAAAATCCACTTCCCAAACACCCACTAATACGAGCAGGGGCAAATTTCAATAAACTCATCCCAAACCTGACGAGTGACAATCCCTACTTGTTGAGGGCTTCTTCTACAGAGTCTGGATCCCCTCCTTGCAAATCCTCCTTCATCTCCTCCTTGCAACGGCTGAGATCAGCCGTTGCACATCCAACGACCATAAAAAAATATTAAAAAAAATTGAAATTTCATTTGCCCGCCCAAAACGAAAATACAGGTTATAGAGCTTTTGTGTATCATTCTCACCCAGTCCGCTTTGAGCTCAGCCCCTTTCTCCTCCACCGAACCCACCATCATCGACAACCACTCCCGACGGCGACATACACTCGACGGCGACCCACTCCTAAACCCAACCCAGGTCTCTTCGAGCTCAGCCCTTTTCTGTCTGCTTCACAAACCAGAGCCCTCACGCTTGTCTCATCCACCTCACTGAACCCGTCTCACTGGTGACTTTCTCGACAGCGACCCACTCCCAAAACCTAACCCATTGCTTTGCCCTTATTCTCTCTACCCTCACTTCGCGAACCAGAGTTCCCTTGTGAGCAAACCAGTCTGTGTACGAACCTGAGTCCTTCGCGAACCAGAGTTCTCCAAGCGGATTACTGATACATAGATGCCATTTTGCTTCTAAATTTTACCTTTACCATCTAAAAAAGGACAGGTTAAACACAAAATTGTTGATTCCATGTTGTGAGAAATAACAATACAGCAACAAAAAATTCAACATCTTCAATCCAGAGCTGGGTCTATATTTTATCAAAAGGATCGTATATGGCATTGTGTGATGATTAGGTGTAGATTCTAAGATTTAAATGTGGTTGGGAATATGATCAACCATTAGTAAACGATGTTTGTGTTTGCGTGTATAAAACTGCCTATTGAGCTAGTCCAGTTTTAACAAAGAAAATAAAATAATGACCAATAAAAGAGTATGAACTGAAACGTCCAATTTCCAAATCTATTTAATCTATTCAGATTTATCTTTCGTCCAAATATGAAGGAAAAAAAAAAAAGAAGCCTTGATGAGATTCTAAGATAGTCAAGCATTGTGGGGTCTTCTTTGGTTTAATTGAATGTATAAGAATCTTCAATTCAGCAAAAAGTTCACTAGCAAAGGAGGGGAAAAAAAACAGAGTGAGAGTGAAAGTGAGTATAAAACTGCCTATTGAGCTAGTCAATTTTTAACAAGAAAATAGAATAATGACCAATAATAGAGTATGAACTGAAAGGTCCAATTTGCATATCTATTTAGTCCATTCAGATGTATCTTTGTTCCAAATATGAAGAAAAAAAATAGCCTTGATGAGATTCTGAGATAGTCAAGCATTGTGGGGTCTTCTTTGGTTTAATTGAATGTATGAGAATCTTCAATTCAGTAAAAAGTTCACCAGCAGAGGGAAAAAAGCAGAGTGAGAGTGAGAGTGAATATAAAACTGCCTATTGAGCTAGTCCATTTTTAACAAAGAAAATAGAATAATGACCAATAAAAGAGTATGAACTGAAAGGTCCAATTTTGCATATCTATTTAGTCCATTCAAATGTATCTTTCATCCAAATATCTTTTCAACAGCTAAGGAGGTGAAGAAAAGAAAAACGCCTTGATGAGATTCTGAGATAGTCAAGCATTGTGGGGTCTTCTTTGGTTTAATTGCATGTATAAGAATCTTCAATTCAACAAAAAAGTTCTCCAGCAAAGGGGGAAGAAAAAAAAAACACACAGAGTGAGAGTGAGAGTGAGAGTGGGTCGCCGTCGGGAGTGGTCCCCCGTGAGGCTGGCTTCGTGGAGGAGAAAGGGTGAGTGTAGACGTCCCCGAACGCCCCGGGAGGAACGAGTCCCCCGTTCCATTCGATATTGGGCTCACTACAGTTCGGACTCTCAAATTGTCACGGTTCTAAGTTTGAACCAAAGAGTCCAAATCTGGCAAATCGTTTTGAGAAAACAGATTTTTTAAAGAAGTGCAAAACATGGACTGCTTTGCCAGATACAGAGTCGCCACCTAAATATTTTATTTTGGGGAAATTTAGGAAACCCTAACTCGTTTGCCTAAGGCCACATGTCCGTCATTACCAAAGTTGCCTCGGCTCAGGAACTTGGGTACGATTGGGGAAGGTCACTTCGTGAGCACCCCCGCTCGCCCGATCAAAAGATTCCGCCTCTACTAACCATGATATCTATGTGAAAACTTTAGCGTTCTTATTCCGTTATTAGCCTAGGATTTATTATTTGATGCGCACAGCATACAAGTATAGACTGATGTCTGAATGGAACAAAATAGTTTCAGTTGTTTATTTTGAAAATGGTTGTGATGTGCTACCGAAGAGGCTAAAAGACGATTTGCCACCCGGGTGGGCTTAGAACATGATTATTTGCCACTATCTAGTGCTTTAAAACACACATTTGATGAAGCTTCCAATTCAAATAACCCAACCTTCACCACAGCATTCAGGCATTATTATGCAACATAAGCAATTTAGCTCATGTAAGCATGCAATCATGCAGCACTCACACGCATGCAAGGATGTAAAGCATGAAACTTATCGATACTCCCATCCCGAGCCAAACACAGGAAGCTCATTAGAAATCTATGCATGATCCTAACTATACAGAGATATGCTAATGCAACAGCATGCAAAATGCAATATAGCAAGCTCGGCGTTTCTAAACATGGCATAATAAATGCTGACAGCTAACATGTATTAACTGGAATTGAAAATACAATCCAGTTAGTATGCATGCGCCGAGCCCGGTGCATGCAAAACAATGAATGGATGAAAAACATGAACATGCTATCATACTGATGCTAATGAAACATGCCCTAATCTAACCATCATAAGCTGTAAATAAAGGGAGAAAGACTGGGTTGGAAGACATACATCACCACACG